TGCCAACTTGTTTGCCAAGTCTTTTACTTCCTCATCCCTCCGTAGGCACCTGTCTCTCCATACCTGGAGGTTATCTTCATTGTAGTACTTACCTTGGTCTATCTTTTTCGAAGTGTCGCCCTCCTGGCCGATGTCTTCCTCTCTGTGACCCTGGTCACGGGTTTCTGAATTGTGGTTGTCTCCTTCAACGTCAAGGTCAATTGGTCTGCCCCTTCCAGCAGGATTGTCGCTCCCAATGTTTTCTCTCTGTCCGTTACTGGCCATCTATTCTTCTAAGATTCCCACAGACGGCGCCAAATTGTGTGGGTGAAAATCTGATCACACTGCCCGCCTAGTAATCAGCTGGAGAGCACGGGCAGAATAGATGGCTTCAGTAAACCTGAAACAAAAAGAAAAAGGCTCCGGCGGTGGTTCTTCCACCCGGGGGCACTCCGACGATCAAGTCAGTATATCTCTCAAAGATAATCAAGTGCTAAACTTGTTGCTCAAAACGTAAATTACATACCTTAGACCCATGGGGGTGCCTCTCTTTTATAGTTTACTCAATCCAAGTCCCACTAGAAGCCTGACTTCTATGAACTCCAATTCAATACTGACTTTGGATTCTTCAAGAGATAAATATAAACTCCCTAAGAGTTTTATCCTTATCTTGGCTAAGTCTTTTCTTTACTCTAGGACTCCTGTCCCTTATCTTTTATACTTATCTCGGATTCCGATATCTTCGGAGATAACCTCGGCGTTACAATCAGGACACGCAGCACTTCGGCTGACACGTCGGCGTCACCATGCCACGTGTTGGTACTCAGAAAATATATCCCCACAACTAATTTTCTCTAAAATAAATTCTAATTTTTTTTAACTTTATTAATTTAAATTCTAGTTTTTAATTTATTTTCAATATAAATCATTTACTTATTTTCATTAAGTAAAATAGACGAGAAATAAGGTGGGCTCTAAGTGAAATTTCAAGTTGAGTCTTGCCAAAAAAATAAATTGTTAATGAAATAGTAAAATGTTTACAATTATTTTTAAATTTTTTTCTAGTATCCACACAAAATTTGTTGAATATAATTATTAAAATATCAAGAAATCATTACAAAGGCTCAAAAAAATAAAATATAATTTTGTTGTTTTATAATGAAGAAAAATTCAATATACAAAAAATTAAAGGGAAAATAATCAATAAATCTTATTCTATTCCTAAGATTACTATTGAGTCCTATTAAATTTTAACATAGACAATTGTGTCTTATTTTTTATAAATTATTTTCAAAATATTCATTACTTCATTATAGTAGATGTTACTTCAATTTTACCCCACATTTAATATGAATAATAATTTTAATTTAATTAAAATAAAATTTAATTGTAAAAACTATTAATATTATATTACAGAAATTATAGTTGGTTGGCAATGAAATACCGACACAAAAATAAACGAATATAGTTATATGAGCGAATTACACTAACGGTTCCGGTAGTTTAGAACTTGTGTCATTTTGGTTATTGACCTTTTAATTGTGATACATTTGATATTGAATTTTGAATTTCGTTCCAAATAAAGACAATTGAAAGTACTATAGCTCCATTTCAAGGATAAAGTCGTCAATTTAATAAAATATAAACTAGTTTGACAAAATAAATATCAAAAAATTATTTTTAAATTTTTAAAAATTATTTTCACCCACCAAAGATAAAATTATATAAAAATGATAAATCTTTTACATTTTTATTTTTTTACCAAATTAATTTTTAGTATGTGTTTAGATGATGATCACATAATGTGTGGTTGTTTTTGATGATATTTTTGTACGGTTATCATATAATAGATGGTTGTATTTGTTGTTGATAGATATTTTTGGATGATAATCATGAAATGAATGGTTATTAGGTTTTAAATGTGTAATCGATATGTTTAATATATGAAATGTTTTGAGTTGTAGATTTTTTTGATTTAATGGATTAGTTTAATAATGACATCAAAATTGTTGTTTTATTTGACTTTTAAAAAAATATAAATTAATTTAAAGAAAATAAATATAAAAAAAAATTATTTACTCTCAAAAGATAAAATTATATAAAATCAATGTATTTTTAATTTTTTTCACCAATTTAATTTTTAGTTTTTTTAAAGAAAATAAATATAAAAAAAAAATTATTTACTCTCAAAAGATAAAATTATATAAAATCAATGTATTTTTAATTTTTTTCACCAATTTAATTTTTAGTTTTTTTAGATTTTTTAGATTTTTTTTTTAAAATGTAGATACTGAAAATCAAACTAAATATAACTTTATAATTAAAAAAGTTCTAACATTATTCATTAAAAAATATGACTACTATATTTCAAACAATATACAAATTAACTAACACAAAATAAATTGTATGACAATTTTGACCTTAAAATGGACCATTTGTAAAAAAAAAAATCACTTTAATTATTCTTGTTTAAAATAAGATTTAAAATTTAATATCAAATGTGTGAAAAGGAGGGACTGAGGGATCGAGACCGAGACTGGGACCGGGACCAGGACTGGCCTCATGGTCATCTGAAGAACTCGAGCGTTATGAATCTCTCTCTCAATCTTGTTCTCTCTCTCTCTCTCTCTCTCTCTCTCATACACACACACACACACACACAATCTCTCTATCGGTCCCTCAGTCTTCAACTTTATCACACTCTCTCTGATTTTGGATCATTTATGATCTCTTTGTGCATTGTTAGGTTTGTAGATTTTGAGTTCAAGTTTCAAGTTATGTGGTAGACATTCAATCAAAATTCAAGCCGAAACCCTAGCATCTTTTGCACACTCTTCTCTGTCAAGTCGGCTTTTGATTTGGATCAATTTCTTTTGCGAGAGTAAAATTTATTGCTATAGTTTGATTTGGTCTCAAACTAATTTTTAGTTCGATATACTTCTCTCTATATCCATTCATGTGAATAATAAAATAATGTTAAGTATGTTCATAGTTGTGTATAGATGATGCAATATTAAAATCTAGGTCTTCTCTCTTGTGATCATGGAGATAAAAAAAAATTAAAAAATTTAAATGATTATGAATATACTTTCAATTTTACTAGAACTCTATTCAAGATGTGATATTCTTAATAACTAGATAAAAGATCCATGTACAACACCAAGCCAATCACAGTTAAACCCAAATTCAGAGGTCATGAGGAATTGTTGAGAAAATGGATAAGTGTTGGAAAATATTTGAGGTGTAAAAGTGAGTTTATGACTAAGTGTTAAAAAATTAATTTTGGAGTTTTATTTGTATGTAGTTGATTTTCGGGTGAGTCTTGGTATTATTGATTTTACGAGTTTGGCCCGGATTATAGGTTTATAGCCAATATTGTGGTTTAGTAAACTTACAGAGATAGTAGATTCAACTATTTGCGGGTTAAAACCCCGAACACTACTCAGTAGAGAGGAATCATAGCTTCTGTGGCGAGCCAATTAACCCAAAACATTTCTTTTGTCACTTAAATTCTACTTAAATTTAAGAAACGGATAACAGGCACATTTTACGAGGTAAACCAAAATTTCATAATTAAATGAGAATTGGCTAAGAAAGTGATTTTGAGAATGACTTAAGTAATAAATGGACTTTTCACTTAAAAACTTTATGCTTAGGTTAATTAGTTTAGGCCTAGTTAATTTTTGAAAATTGGGACGTGACATAGACCAAACCGCATGGTTTGGTTTAGTTTTCTCAATGTATGGTTTGGTATTGGTTCTTAAAATAGACAAATCATACTTAATGATCCAGTCAATGATTTATAGTTATGGATCCGATTTAAAACTGAACCGAACCGTTTATATATATATATATATATAAGTTGTAATATTTTATTTTTGCAAGTTGGTTATTGTACAATGGTAGAATTAGGGGTTGTTTGGAGTGTCCTAAATAAGTGCACTTTTTGACTTTTTGGACTAAAAAGTTAAGGGAAAAAATATGGTTGTTTGGGATAACTTTTTGACTTTTTACGAAAAAATGTGTATTAAAAAATTGTATAAATTAGTGTATAGGGATCGGATTAATTTTTTGTCAACCATTTACTATAACACCATCCATTTTTTTGTACAAAACAGATTTGATCATGTAGTTAGAGATATTCGATCAATGTGATTTTTAATAGCCATATAGTACTCGACGAGTTCTACACATTGAATGGTTCAAATTATCAAAATGGGACCCGTGATGGGCCCCCATGGGCCGAACAACACCGTTCTTAAGCTTGCCTCTGCCTGTGTAATTTATTCTCACCAAGTCAACAAAAGGAAACTCACGACAGAGTGAGTTGTATTTTTTTGTATAAAAATAATTTTTTTATAATTTTGTTTTTGGTGAATAGTGATAACTTTTTTATTTTTTTAGTAACTTTTTGTCTTTTTATCTTTTTTTGGAAGATCCCAAACTAGGCCTTAGTTGTGAACAATTACTTAAACAATTATTAAATGATGACAATAGTTTTAAAATCGTGGTTCTAAATCAAATAGAACTGTGGTTTATTAGTTTGGTTATGGTTTAGTTTCGAGATTCTCATGGTTTGATTTAGTTCCAAATTTTTTGAAATCATAAATAATGATTTAATTTTTTGAAATCATAAATAATGATTTAATCTTGATTTACTTTTAAATCGAACCAATCCAAACTATGTCCATCCTATTTAATTATGCAACATACATATTAAATAAAATTTTCTCCAAAATGACAGCACAATAATTCCATTATTAGAGTGGCTAATACGGTTGGGCAGCAGATGTGCCGACTCGACAAACACGACCTGACCCGACGTGTTTTGGGTGAATATGTGATACGTGATGGATGGATACGGATCTAAAATTTTCAATTTCGTGGTTTCGGGTCAGGTGGCGGACAATCCACCAATTTCATTCTCGGACCCGACCGACCCACATATTTTCCCCATTCTCTCCTCTGTCTCGCCCCCATTTTTTTCATTTAAAGTCGTTTTTGTTGCCCTAGGTTCTCTCTCTCTCTCTCTCTCTCTCTCTCTCTCTCTCACCTTTTTGTCTCTCTCACTTGAACGGCGGTGAGCCACGATCGGAGATCGGCAACAGTGGTGGCGAGGGACGAGCGACGATCGGTGACAGTGGCGGTGAGCAGCGATTGAAGCCTCGATTGGAAGGTATTCTTCTTTTCTCTTCTTCTTTTTTCAACCTGTGTTCTGTGTTCTCAACCTAATCACAAATTCCTTTTTGATGGAGTGGGTACGCGATTGATAAAACTATTTTCAAGCTAATAGATAAAACTAGCAATTGAAAGCAATTGATAAAACTATTTTTAAAATCTAATTTTGCAGATTTCAGTTCTAATTCTTCTCTCATTGATTAGGGGTTTTTTCAAATTAGGCTAATCTTCTTTCTTCTATTTTATTGTTTGATGATGATGGTGATGATTTCTGGGTTTTTCATTTGTTAATTTGTTGGTATAAGAACCGTGATTTTGAGTTTTCTGGGTTATTTGTGTGAATTGCTGGTTGTTCAAGTAAAGTTTTTTGTCAAATGTAATATATTTGTTTTTTCGGGATTAATAGGAGTTAACACTCTGTTTTTTTTTTTTTTTTTTTTGAGATGTGTGTGTGTGTGTTTTGTTTCCAACCTAGCAATTTAAAAGTTAATGACTTGATGTCAATGAGAGCAATGAAATATGCTACTAAGAAACTGTGAATATATCATTGTCAACAACTTGTAATTTAACTTTAAATTTTTAACTTCAAATTTGTTGTCAACTTGTGATTTAAATTCATATTACAACGTGAATGTTAAAAACACAAAACTCAAAATAATTTCAGATTTAAATAATTTCATAAATTTTGGACCTAAATTATACCCAAAAACAGTGAAGTACTTGAAAATTAATTCAAAAAATGGCCCCAAATAGTTTAAATTAGAAAAAGATTAACTAGCTCCTCAAATCCTAGAATTAGAATCTTTTAAGTGATTATACAATAGGATTTCGCGTACCCACTGGCTGTTTGATGAAATGTTTAATGAACAGAATACAGAATGTAGGAACAATTGTTTAATCAAATCTATTTGATGAACAGAATACATATGCAAGTGTTTTTATTTTGGTTAGAACTTATGTGTGAGGTGGGAATAAGAATTATCTATGCAAGTGGAGTTATTTTGACCGGGAATAGAATTATTTATTTTACATATTTATGTGTGAGTTTTTGGTTAGAACTTTTCTAGTTCTGTAATGGAGTTGAAAACAGGGGACTAGACTTCCTATATTTTCTTTATGCAAGTTTTTTCATTTTGTGTATAGATATATGGAGGGACACACAAAACTCCAGGTATCGATCTTTCTTCTTGAATGGCTCCGATTACCCTATCGGCCTTGGCTGTAAAATGAACAATGCAAAGACATGCAAGGTTTTTAAAGGGTTTTTAGAAAACTAACTCAAGAATATTCTCTCACGAACATCAGATTTATCGCTAAGAATTGTTGTTGAGTTTTCAGAATTTGGCTATGAAAAACAATAGTTATAATACTGAAAAATAGGATGAGGGGATGTATTTATATAAAACAACTTTTAAAACCAACTTAACAAAGGATTTGTGAAAAACTATACAGGGAATTGATCGCACTTAAGGAGCAATTGATCACATCATAAATGGATCAATTGCTGTCTACTGTACCAAATTTTTTTCCAAGTGATTGCTTAGGGATCGATCACGTGTTGATCTCTTGCTTCTGTTAAAAGAGAGATTAAATGGTGATCGGTTGTGTTTTGAGCACTTTCTTATGCTGAAAGAGCGATCAATTGCATCCCAAAGAGATTGATTGCTTTGCGTAGCTGAGTCCATATTGACCATGTTTTTCAATAAAAGATTTTTGTATCTTTTTCAAACACTATTTTTGAGAAACTTTATGCAACAAAACATAAATGCAAGCTTCACTTGAGCGGGTAATGGAGCAAAGCTTTGAACTTGGTGTGCCAAACTGGTTGGGTAAGGCTTAAGAAGTATGGACATGAACATGGACATGTGATGCAAAACAGATATGATATGCAAATTTTCAAAAAGTATAAGACATGACACGTAGAGGACACATGCAAAATATATAATTTTATATATTTATTATGTCATATATAAGGATAAATAATTATATGTCATGCATATCTAAAAGATAATAAATTTTAAAGTCTAAAAGAGAAAAATTGGTATAAATTTATATTGTTTTTGTTTTTGTCATTTTATTTCAAATTATTTTATTCAAACTTGTAACGTGTTTCTTGTGTGCCTAAGTGTTGGGAAGTGTCCGATGAGTGTCATGTCTTGTCGGTGTCGACACAACACGTTACCTTCTTAGATGTGTTGGTGCTTCTTAGGGTAAGACAAATGACCAAAATACGTGCACACATCTAAGACAATCCATTACAACCAAATTTTGTCCACAAAAATTGTCAATACAAAATATTCTGTTACAAGATGAACTTTAGTAGTAACATTCAAGAAGATATCTTTTGGTGTATGTTATTTGTTTGTGATATAATCTTGGTTGACAAAACAAGAGAATGAGTGAACTTTAAGCTAGAGTTATGGAGAAATATTTTAGAATCTAAGAGCATAGGTTAAGTAAGATTAAAAATATATAGAGTGGAATTTTAGCAAAACTATAATGGGAATGGAGTAAAGTAGAACTTGATGGGTATGAGGTAATATTTTCGAGATCTTGGATAATTGTTTAAAAAGATGGAGAAATGAGGAGGATGTGATCTATAGATTTAGGGAGGGGTGAATGAGGTGGAGTGCATCAGGGTGTTGTGTGATTGCAAGATTCTTATTAAATAGAAGGGGAAATTTTGTTGGGTTGCTATAAGACCTTACTACAATATATGGTATTTGAATGTTGGACTATTAAAGAGAAAACATGTTCAAAAATGAGTATAGCTAAAATGAGAATGTGTAGAGGGAATAATTTGTGTGAACAAAATTAAGCCCTTTCTAACCCTCCTTTTTAGTACACTTACATTTATAAAAAAAAAATATGCAAAAAGAAAAAAAAGAAATGAATCCATTAAAAAAAGAAGTTAGAAATGATTAATGTGTCTGTAAGAAGTGATTTGATCCACGTGGCGAGTGATAAAAGAAATAGAGAAAAGTTCAGGAGAACTTGGGTTGAGGTGATATGAAGGGACATGGCTATCTTGAACTTAACTAAGGATATGACTGTGACGAGAAGCAATTGAAGGAAATGGATCTATGTAGCCTACCCCAAGTAATTAGGACAAAAGCTTGTTGGGTTGAGTTGAATAATGTTTCTAAATTTCTATGAGTCAAAATGCTTGATTTGACTACGTGATGGTCTTTTAGTTTACATTGGAACAATGGTGAAACTTTAAAGCCTTTACAAGTATCTAGAGAACATAGTTGATACATCAACACAAGTTCGTCTGCAAAAAGCATGCACCATGGCACGTCATCTTGAATATTTCTCGTCAACTCATCCATAATTAAAGCAAAAAGATAAGGACTTAAGGTAGATCCTTGATGTAACTCTACAATGATAGGAAATTCATTTGTCTCTCCAGCTGGCGATCTAATAGTGGTCACCACCCTTCATACATATCCCTAATCACATCAATGTAACCCTTTGTTATCCCTTTTTTCTCTAACACCCACCATATTATATCCCAGTGCACTCTATCATATGCTTTCTCAAGGTCGATAAACACCATATGAATGTCTCTTTTCTTTTCTTTATACTTTTTTATTACTCTCCTCAAAAGATAGATCGCTTCCATTGTTGATCTGCTAGGCATAAACCCAAATTGATTCTCTAACACCTCTGTTATATCTCGCAATCGGCGTTCCATCACCCTCTCCCACACTCTCATTATATGACACATTAGGTTGATTCCTCTATAGTTGTTACAATTATGTAATTCTGGACATCACCTTTATTCTTATAGATTGGCACTAAAATACTATTCTTTTACCCATTTGGATGTTCCTAGTCAATAAAATTTTGCTAAACATACCTAGTCAACCAACAACTCTCTTTTTACCCAAACACTTTCAAGCTTCCATAGGGATATCATCGGGTCCTAAAGTCTTATTTGATTTCATTTTCTTAAGTGCAATCTCCACTTCAAAATTTCTAATCCTGCGATAGAACAATAGTATTGGTTTATCGTATTACTGGCTATTTCTTCCCCTATTGCTGTACCTCCATGTTCCTCATTTAATAGTTTCTCAAAATAATTCTTCCATCTTTCCTTAACCTCTTTATCCTTACTTAATACTTAGAATCCTCACTCTTTATGCATTAACTTAATTAAATTTCTTTTTTCTCTCCCGTATTTAGCAAGTTTGTATACCACTTCTCTCTCCTTACTATCTAGTCTAGTGTATAGGTCATCATAAGCTTTCACTTAGCCCTCTCACTATTTTCTTGACCTTCTTATTAGCCTCTCTCATCCTAACCGTAGCAAATAAATTAGCCTAACATGTTCATATTAAAATTAAAAGCAATAATTGAAAAATACTTATTTGAATTCATTGCATTAATAATCGAAACTCTTCTTCTCTTTCTTTAATTATTTTGATAAGAGGGCTAAATTTTGAGCCCACTAAATTATATTAGGCGCCAATAGCCGCCAACAAGATTAGTGGGCCCGAATTTATCGCAAGTCCAAGAAATCGGTTACGGGACCCAGATTTATGCTGCCATCAAACTGGGCTTGTATATGGCATCTAAGCCTCGAAAGGGTTCGGATCTCACGAATCTTAAGGGAGACTTACTCGTGGCCGGACTCGAAAGGGTAGTAAGCAAGCCTAGAGATCCGACGGTCACTCGGATCTCAAATAGGATTCGGACCACGAATCTAAGATCCGAAGTAACTTGGCTTCGAACGGATTCAGACGCCAATCTAGAAGTCGCTCCGTTAATTGAGTCCAGAAGCACTGTGGCGGCTCGGAGCTTTCCGGGAATCTAGCGCACCAGAACCTATGGCGTAATGGAGGTGTTCGAACAAAAGGACTCCGATCCCGAGGTAATTGGTGGAGTGGAGATAAATTCCACTCTTCAGTTTTAAACATAGCTCTATACCACGGGTGTGTCGAGGGATAGCACGACCATCGGTGGGGTCCATGAGACTCAAAAGGCTAATATTTT